TTAAACCCTCAGACCACTGGAGATAGAAGGGCAAGGAGAAACATCAATTCAGCAACTCCTAGGGATTCCTCCATACAGGAAGAATTCAATCCACTTCGTGCTTTGAGGATACTAAAAGGCAGTTTAGAGCTGACTTTATGGGCCCCAGTAATAAAAATACAAGGAAAAAAGGCAATTATTGTACCAGAATCGCTACCATAAAATATTATAAACAATAACAAAGTCAGATCTGGTCAATGCCTAGAGGATTTTATTATCTTCAACGCTAGCAAACAGTTCCAAAATACGCTTAACAAATCATTTGTCTGAAAGTTAATGAAAAAGTTTGTATTCAGAACTGCAATTTCTAAGTGGATATCAATATTTATTTTATATCCATCATCTGATTTTAATATAAATACTTTGCAAGTAAAAATGTTACAGCTTTTACTGGTGAAACCGTCAAGACTAAGGCCCCCAGTCATTCTTCAGGCTTGGAATTGAACTCACTTCCAGCCAAACAAGAGACAAGCATATAAAGTGAACATTTACACCAGGTAAGCACACTCCTTAGAATAACCAACCAGGGGACATCAGAAGGGCAGTATTTGCACAGGGAGACAGTACGCATAGGAAAGGAGGACATGGAAGAGGTAACACGCAAGGGAAGGAGTGAGAAGACAGCTGTTACATTGTGAGGACTGCAATCAATATCATGAAAGAAAATGTGTATAAATTGTTGTATGGAAAATGAATTTGCTCTGTAAACTTTCCCCCGAAACACAATGAAAAATTAAAAGAAAACATATATGACAATAAAAAAGTGTAAAAATATTACAGCTTTTAGAAACGAGAGAAAAAATTACAAAGAAAAAGAATTCCAAACACAGGACCTGGAACCTCAACTAACTCAGTACAGTTTTGTGGTTGTCAAATTAAAATCTATCATAGAAAAGTATATGGGAGTGTAAAACTTCTGTTTCTGGACTTTGATCCAAGTGGTCATAAAAACTTGTCCTCACTTAATATCTCCTGTTTCCAGTGTATGCCAAATATTCCGAAGCTTTTTGCGGAGAACAAAACAAAGCAATAAAAAAGTCAATCATGTCACCCTACAATACTTAATGACCTGAAACATCACACACAATCACAGAGCTGATTAGTAACTAATGAAAGGTATCATTATTCTAATATACTGTCAAGAATAACAACAGCTGTTAAGTGGGATTAGCACTAGGAAGGCTTCATTTGTGAATGCATGTGCTTTAGATTTAGAGCTCTCCACTAAAGTAATATCTCAGGCCTGTAAAACTGCAAATTATCTACAATAGTGAGGGTGCGAGTTTCCCACCAGATGTTCACCTAAATTAATTTTTATGCCAACAGATTATGAGTCCTTCAACTGAAATTCTCAAATTCACACAAAGAGGTTGGGATGACTAAAAATCATCTATTGCTAGGCTATACCTTCTAAGGAGGTCCTTAGCTCTGCATTTGAAGTTAGTTGAAGGAAACAATGTAATGTAATGACATAACTGCTTTCAAGGACAACTAAAATTAATGGTGTTAGGGAGCCCTGGTGGCACAATGGTTAAGCGCTCAGCTGCTAATGCAAAGCCTGTTATTTCCAATCCACCCAGGGGCTCTGCGGAAGAAAGACCTGATGATCTGCTTCTGTAAAGATTACAGCCAAGAAAACCCTACAGACAGTTGTACTTTGCACACAAGGTCACCGTGAGTTGGAATCGACTCGATGCCACCCAACAACAGCAACAAATGAGAATTTAGGAATGCCAGAGCCAGCATTCTGTTCAATGACTACCACTGACTGCAGATTATTCAGTTTTGGAAGGATAGAGACACATACAAGAGTGCCTAATGACAACAATTAAATCAAATAATGTAGAAAGAGTTATATCAAAAAGCCTGTTTACTAGTACAGATGGATAATCTGAGTGAATCCAAGTTTATTTTGAATTTTAAAACAGGCCAAATGCCTCTACAGAACTATTCTGTTTTAAAGGTTTTCTGAATCGCATGTAGTATTCATTTTACATTTACAAAGTGCAACAAAAGGGAAAAAAGAAATGAGTTTCCAGCTTAAAAAATTCTTAGCTGTAAACTGTAAAGTTAAAATGTTTACAATAAATTTTTACTACAATCACTTGAACCACACTGGGCTTAGTAGTTTGGCATCCTTATAATCAACTAATGCAATTTCTCATTCTTATTTTAAAGTCAATTTCCAGTTAATAACACTGAATATAATCCCAAATTGGAAAATAGTTTCATGAAGAACCTCTGGATACACGCAAGTTCTTAGTTATATTCTTTACATTGACAACTTTCAGCACATTATACCTCCTAAAACTGAGGGTGTGCACTACTCTTAAATTTTTTACACTTTCGTTTTCTAAACCACTGCCCGTCAAGTCGATTGAATCCTAGCGACCCTACACTCAACATAAACTCTTCTATTAAAACTACAAACACATATATGTCATAGAAAGTTTTCCACCTACTGCCAACATCAACTGTCATATAAAAATCTTAACTGGGGGAAAAATGTCTTTTTATGGAGTCTCAGATGATCTAAATTTTACGCAGTGAACACTGTTTTTGAGAATTCGAATTCTAATCCGAATAGGAAAAATGTAACTGACTCTTTCATTTTCCAGTAAAATATTACTACACTTAAAAAAGTTTTAACAAGCTCTGAAAATGAAGCGTTCTTACCTATGACTAGCCAAAAACTACCACCAAACCAATTCCAAGTTTACGTCTTTGAAGGAAGAGGGCAAAAAAAAAAAAGAAAAGAAAAGGGCGTTTATGTTGTAATATTAGACCAATAACGTTTTCCTTTAAACTGTTAATAGTTTGCCTAAACAACACCTCCAAAGTACACACTCCTATACACTTTAAAAAAAAAAAAAACAGCATCGTTCTCCCCGCCGTCCCCCATTCTGTGCGGTACAATTCAATGAGAGCAGAAGGATGCGAGTGTGCGGGGAGAAGGAAAAAACCAGGGGCAGATGTACTTGGAGTAGCAGGTGATTTCTGAAACTATCAGTGCATAGTAATCGATTATTCCAGACCTAGACAGCTCTAATACCTCACTTCAAACTCACAGAAAAGTGTCCTTCGAAGACACCACTTTCCTATCAGGGTTATCCTCTAAATCTATCCTCTAGCCGCTCCTGGTTTAGGATTTTGAAGGAAGAAGGCGAAAGCGGGACAGGATTAAAGGAGGAGGGCGGAATAACTAAGCAGACTCAGAGGTAAAGCTTGTTGCAGAGTTGGTTGCCTCGGTCAAAAACCGCGGAGTGATCAAATTGACACCCACTCTAAAGTCCGTTAGCAAAATCAGGGTTGAAAAAAACCGTATCTAAAATCCCAAAGTAATACATCTGCAAGAGAGTAAAGGAAGCACCCCCACCCACCCCCAAAAAATCACATAGTTAAATTTCACTGAGGCATCGCCCCATCGGTTGTGACCCGGCCTCCACCACTCAGCACCCAGTCCCCACTGCGCCCCGGGGAAAGTGAAGGAGGAGGGATGCTGGCCCAAGTACCTTGTTTTGTCTCCAAAGGGCAACATAGCAAACGTAGAAAGTTCAAGATGCAGAACATACGGCCTCC